CCTAACAGAAGGCATTTTTAGCACTCAGCTGCTGGTTTCCAAGCCTGTAAGAATGACTTTTCTGCAATAGTCTGGGTGGGAACCTTGCTTCAAAAATGAAGCCGAAACATCTTACAAAAATCACATGATTCCACAAGCTGGAGCTTCTAGAGAGAATGTTCTGCTCCAGGAGCAGATGTCACACAGCCCCACGGGACACCGGATCCGCTCCCTCTTGGCACATGCAAATATCCCATCGTTTGCCTTAAAAACGATGAGAAAACCCAACGCAACCCATCCTAATGACCCCACGGTGCTGCTCTGCCCCGCTTCTGCGTTCTTCTGCAGACCTCACTGTTGAAGGATGAGACCCTGAGTCGCCATAAAGGAAACAGTCCTTGTGTTTTGGAGCGGTCTGCTCTGGAGAGAGGAGCTGGGCTCAGTGATGCTCATGGATCCCTTCCAACTTGGTGCGGTCTGTGTTTGTATGATTGCAGGGTGATGCGTCCCAGCCTAAAACGCTCGGATGGAGAACTGCCCGTGTTGCTCCTATAGGGTGATCCCAATGAAAAGGGTGAGGAGTGTCCATATGGCCGTGAGTTAACAGAGATAATGAAGATGAAGTGGTGAAAGGGCAGCAACGCTGTGCATCAGAACTGGAGGGGTCCCTATTACGGTCGTGGGGAGGTGTGTTGTGGGGCAGATTGATCTGGAGGGTGCTGTGTTTTCCCCTGAGGCGCTGCAGGCCAGACAAGGCACCAGAGCTGTCTGCCAGTTCCTGTGCCCTGTAATTTCTGTGCCCTGTACTTTCCCCTGGGGCCAAAATCCTTCTTCTGTCCTGAGCAGTACCTGAAACTAAGCAGCGTGTTCCAATGAGATCAGTAATTACCATCAGCCCGAGTCATTTATTTTTAACGAAGCTGGTCAGAATCTTCATTTTGTATTTTGGTTCATTTTTTTTTGCTTCCCAGCATTTCGATCACTGCTCTCCTATTGTCACCATTGTATCCCTTTGCAGGCACCCTCAGAGCCAAGCCCAGGTTGCAGGATGCTCTGCAAACCAGAATGAGCTCTGGGCTGAGAGCTGTGCCCCCTCCCTGGTCCTGCAGCATCCCCACTCCATCTCCGTGGTCCCTATGAGCCTCTTTTTGCTTTTGCACAGTAATTCCCATTTGCATCCATGGGAAAGTTCCCAACGCATGTGCTGAGAGCACCTGGAAGTGTCAGCAATACCACTGCAGGGGTGAGATGGACGTGGAGTTGTGACATGGGACGTGGAGAGGCTGCTCCCACCCCATCGCAGTGCATAGCAGGAAAATGTACCAGCCTGGGCCAAGAAATCCCACTTGCCTACTCACACGGCACTAACAATGAAAACACTAATTATATTTCACTTATCTATCAAAGGGATGATTCAAGGAGGTGAGTGGGCACGGAACATTACACAAGATGAGCCCCGAGGTGCGACTGCCCATCCCTTCGGGGTGGCCCTCTCAAAAAATGTGCATGGATCACACAGGTTGGGCTGGGGGAGACAACTAGAGGGATGGGGAACAGCTATGGGGCATGGGGATGGGAACCTGGTGCCCAAGGACTGGATGGGCTACGGAGGCCTCAGAGGGAGGTTCCCCCATCCAACCCCTGTCCCATTGGGGCAAACAGGGAGGGGAGAATGGCTTTGCCAGGGCTGAAATGGGCCCCAGCTGCTCCAGCAAAGGCGTTGCAGTGGCACTGGATGACATTGCTGCTCACTCCAATGGATGCTTACCTTGATAGATGCTCACCCCACTGGGTGCTCACCCCAATCACCCTGATGCATGCAGCCCCTTCTACCCAGTACCCCTGCTACTCAACCTGCTACCGGCTGGGCTGAACCAGGCCCGGATGCAAATGTGCTCTGCAACCCCAGCATCCAACAAAAGCAATTCTCAGCTCTTGGTTTATATAATATCATCCTGCTGCTGGATGGGACAGGAGGCATCGAGCAATTCTGGCAGTGGGACAAGGGCGCACGGATGGGAAAAGATGGTGCACACGTGTGCCACAGATGCACAGGCATAGGCTGCGTGTGCAGCGATGCCAGGGAGCTTCAGCACGAAGTGGTCTCCCTGAGGGGGCTGTGTTTGCTTATTGGTGCCCCATGCAGTGTGTTTGCATCTCTCGGCTCAGGGAAGCAAGTTTGCACGGGCATGGGGCAGAGAGTGGGGGGCAGAGCATGTGAGTGGGGGTCTGTGCATGGAGTGGGGAAGCGGCGTGGGGAGCAGAGGCGTGTGTGCATGGTGCTGAGCGTGGCAGTGTGGGAGGTGTGAGCTCTGCAAGCTGCGTGCGGGGGCAGCTGGTGTGGGGGTTGGCAGCACCCGACGTGGGGGGACGGTGCCTGGGGCTGTGAGCTGGGGGTGCTGAGCAGGGAGGCATCGTTTGCCGTGCCTGAGCTGAATGCATCGATGGATGCGTGCATGGCAAGATGCTGCATCCCTAATAGCGCTGGTAATGGCTGGGGGAGTTTTGGGGTTGGTCCTTCACGCTATTGCACAAGGAGAAATTGGAGTGAAAGGCAGGGATTTGGTGGCACCTTGCTTCCTCAGCCTGGCTGTGCATTTAGGGGCCCATCCCCTAGGCCTGGTTGATGTGCTATAAAAAATAGCATGTAAGGGATGAATATTTATCTGTAGGTGGCAAGTGACAGATGCTGGGGCGAGGATTCTAGGATACTTCAGTTTGATGGAGGTAATAACTTGAATAGATTAATGAGAAACATCCTTCCTCAGAGCTGCCTCCCCTGTACCACAGCTACACGGTGCCCTTGGTGCAAACACTGGCTTCTTGCACCCAAGAGCACAGAGTTCACCAAGGTTTGGTTTCCAAAGGTCTGAAGGTGTCCAAATCCACCCAAAGTGGGGATGTGGGACTGGGAAAGACTCCCTGGCTGCTGGCAGCTGAGTTCAGTAAAGTGCATCCTACCTGTGCCAAAATGGGATCAGAGAGCGTGGGCATTGGGGGTGTGCATGGGATATCCCCATTCCCAGCACCTGGCCGTGAGCTCTGCAGCTCTGTATGGCCCCATGCAGCCATTCCCTTCTCCCTGCACTGTATGCAGTCCCCAGGGGACAGCGTTTTGCTCTTCCCCTGCCCATCTCACACCTCCTAATACCAAAGATGTGCATGGAGAGGCTTTTGGTCCTGAGCACAGGGAAGCTGGGCTGGCCTGACAAGATGGAAGCAGCAGCTGTTGGCTTCTGGTAGCTTCTCAGAGCAGTGAGCAGCATGCAGCCTGGCTTGGGCATGCACCCTGTGCTGTCCTGCATGGGGTGGGGGGCGACAGAGGTGTGGGGCCAGAGCAGTCCCCAACACCATGAGCTCTCCATACAAATGCCCCCAGTGGGGTTGGAATGCTGGGGGGGTTGGTATGGGGGCAGCACTGGAGTTCAGATCATGCAGAACACCACCCCCACCCCCTGCTGACCCCTCACTGTGAGCACTGCCTGAGTTTTATTCCCAGCAGAAGGATGTCAGATGTAGGGATCGCTCCCAAACCCAAACCCAACCAATCCCAGCATTATTCCAGGCATCTGAAACAAAAGGTGCAGCCGTATTTTCCTCTCAGAGAAAGCCCCCCCCCCTGAGCAAATTATCTTTAAAAATAAATTCCCCACTTCTCCCTCTCCCTCAGAGAGCACAAAGAGCTGCAGGTACCACGTCTGATCATAGGGCAGCACCAGGCTTGCTGGAGAAAGCTCTCGCAGCACCTGTCAGGAAGGCTGCGACGGAGCTCAGTTCCTGCAGTCCCCTGACTGTGGCCATCCTGGTAAACCATAATGCCATCAAATGTAAGGAACCCGCTTGGGGTGGTGCACATCCAGCAGAAAAAGCCCTGCTGCAGGGAGGTAGGCCTGGCTCTTATCATGGTGGCAATCCAGATGGAAGGACCCCGAAAGGCTACGGAGGATGATACAGCCACTTAAGGAGAGCACCAGCTGTTTTCCCTAGTTTGGCCCTAAAGCTCGTTAGCCCGGCGATTGCTGATCACTCCAATTGGGTTTTCTTGTTTTGTTTTGTGGTTTTTTTTCCCCATTTAATCCTGGTTTTCCCCTCCACATCTCGCTAAGCCGCGTTGACGGCAGAGAATAGCTTCTGTGATCCCTCTGAGCCCCTACGCTAAGCATTAAGCCGTAAACTAGGAATGTAAGACTCTTGTCTGAATTAAATTCTTTTGCCTGGGCATTATTCATTAAGTGTGGGGCTGAAGGCAGGGTGTTCACGAAGCCCTTGGCCTTTCATATAAAGGGTTTGCTGCAATAGAGCTGTACGGATCTGCCCCAGACATCCCTGCATGCTCCGCTCCCCTCTGCCCTGCTTTGCTGCATCCACTCCAATGCAAATCCTACAGGTTACAGTGGTACAGAACTGCCCTGTCCCATGTGCAACTCGGGCTGCTCCCCCAGCTGGGCCCACCCCATCCTCCCTGCTTTGTCCTCCATTGCTCAGGTACCAGCATCTCATCCCCTCTCCCAAAAAAGCCTTTGTAGGTGCAGGCCTGGTGCTGTGACCAGCTGAACATATGGGGTACCTCTGGCAAAGAGGTGGCCTGGTGCCATGCTGGCTGCTGCCTTATCTCCTGTGGGGCAGTGAGCAGCAAGCAAGCAAGCAGGTTGCCATGTCCCAGACTTCAGCTCAAGCCTGGGGGCTGAACATATAGCTCACTGCTACCTACGCATCCATCAGTGGTACCCACACATTGCTGGTACCCAAATATCCCTCACGGTACCCACAGGCTGTTGGAACCCATATACCCATCATTGGTACCCATATATCCATCACTGGTACCCATGCATCCCTCACTGGTACACACAGATTGTTGGTACCCATGCACCCATCATTGGTACCCATAAATCACTGGTACCCACGCATCCCTCAGTGGTGCCCATCCATCTCTGGTACCCACGCATCGTTGATCCCCATACATCCCTCACTGCTACCCACACTTCCTGCCCCAGCTTGGGAGATATCAAGACACCACCTACCTCCATCCGAGTAGGTCTCAGTCCCGTAGCCATCCTGTAATCCATTGCTCCAGGTGCCTTCATACTTGGCCCCATTTCCAGTGCATTCTCGGACCCCGTACCGTCCCTTAAATCCGTGGGTCCACTCTCCTTTGTACACCCACTTCCCCTTGCTCTCCATGCCAATGCCATGGCGCTTGCCCTGCGCCCAGGTGCCCTGGTAAGTGTTGCCGCTGGGCCAAGTGTAGACCCCCAACACCTCAAAGCCGTGACTCCAGGAGCCCGAATATTCACCTTGACCCTTGGGGCCGGTACAGATTCCGTGGCCATGAGCCTTTCCGTCCTCCCAGCCTCCACAGTACGACCCTCCATCGTCAAAATTAAACCTTCCCCCACTGGACATGCATGTAATTCGGTTTGCAAATCCCCCAAAAGGTGAAAAGAAAAAAAAAAAAATAAAAATAAGAATAAAAAAATGATGCGGGAGAGAAAAGGAGAACGATGACTTGGAGAAAAAAAAAAAAAGATAGAAAAATCAGGTTGCAATCATGCACCAGATCCAGCCGCTGCTCAAGCCAGTTCCTCGTGATTATTCATTCTCTGGGAGTGTGTTCGGGATCGGTTGGCTCTTCCCCTGCTGTGGAAACAGTATCATTAAAAAAAAAAAAAAAAATAGCAGCAAGAACAGCGGCAGCTATTGGGTTTTGGTGCAAACGACTCCACCTAAAAACCATCCACGGCAGAAAACGGGGGTGGAGGGGGAGAGAGAGAGAGAGAAGAAGAAGGGGTGGGGGGGAATAGAAGGAAAAAAAAAAAAAGAAAAAAAAAAAAAAAAAAAAACCCCAAACCCCAAAGGGTATGAAAAAAAGGGGGCGGGGAGGGAGGGAGGCCCCCCCCGCTCCCGGCTCAGGCCGCCCGGCCCCGGCGCATGGCTCAGCAGCAATGCGGTTCCCCCACCGCCTCCCGGCCTCGCCCTACGCACGTCCTAAAAAGCCTCTCCCGCAGCCGCCGCTCCCCTGCAGCTCTGCCCGCCGCGGGAGCCGCTCGCTGGGGCCGCCCGTGCCCGCATGCTGCTCTCCGCCAGGCCCCGAGGGGGGGGGGAGCGCGGCCCGACCCTCGCTCCCCCTCCTTCCCACGGGGCTAAATCCTGCTTATCAACGAGCGAGGATCCTGGGCTGCTGCTCTGCCTCAGCTCCGGGTGGATTTAAAGAGACAGCGGCTGCGGCTGCCCCCTCCCTCCTTTCTTCCCTCCCTCCTTCTCTCCCTCCCTCCCTCCAGAAGGATGCTGCCGGGGTTGGATTTCTCTCTCCATCCCTCCCCGCTCCTTCCGTTTGGGATCCGGCACGCCGCAACCCCGCTTATTGATTCGCATCGCTCCAGGCTGCGTCCCCTCCCTTCGGCATCCCGGGGTGCTCGGGATGGTGTGCAGGGCCTGAGCTGCCGGGCCCGGGGGGAGGGGGCGGTTTACAGGATGGTGGGAGATGTGGGATCATCCAGGAGCACGCAGTGTCCCCATCCTGCAATGCTTGTGCCAGGCAGCATCCGTGTGCCTGCTGCGTTTGCTTTCACACGCAAGTGAATGAGGGCCGAAGGGGAGCTCTGTTGAGAAGGATGATGAGAAAGGTGCTCCTACAGTCAAATCTGGGAGCTGTGTGAAAAGAGAATAGCGGAATCCCTCAGGTTGGAAAAGAGCCCCAAGATCCTCAGGTCCAACCCCAAACCCATCCCACCGCAGTGCCACATCCCCGCGGTTCTGGAGCACCCCCAGGGATGGTGACCCCACTTCTCCCTGTGCAGCCCGTGTCAATGCATCACCACTCTTCAGGAGAAGCAATTGCTCCTGACATCCCACCTGGCCTTCCCCAGGCACAAGGTGAAGCCTTTCCCTCTCATACGACCAAACACAACGTGGTGGTTGGATTGGACGATCGCAGAGCTCTTTTCCAACCTTTGTGATCATTCAACTCTGCAATTCCACCCTTCTCCCATCCCTTCCAACCATGGGATTTCAGTCCCGGCATCTCAGCTGCGTCCCCCCGAGTCCCTCCTGCCTCCATGCCCACCCAATGCGAGCTTTGGGGCTGTGCTCCCCACTCTCCTTCTCTCTCGATGCATTTTCTGGTGTACAAAACCACCCTCATCTGGAGGAAGTCTTCCTCCTTGCAGGAGCTGGAGGGAAGAGAAGCAACCACAGTGGGTGGGAACTCTCCCACTTCAGCTTTTTTTTCAGTGGAAAATGTATTTTCAAACCATGCTGAGTCCTTAATGTGACAACTGCACTCTTTATGCTTTCTTCTCCCCCAAAATTCCACACTTCAGGTATTGCAGATTTCGGCAGCTGCCAACTCCCCCCCCCCCTTTTTTTTCATGAAAGAGAAAAGCCTTGGAGTGAAAACCTCCAAACTTTCCAAGGAAAACACTACCAATAAAGTGTTTAAATACAAGATCGGCTTCTAGGGTACTGCAGGCCTACCAGAATGGTTCCTGGTTTTGATCCAGGTTGGATATTAGGAATGATTTCTTCTCCCAAAGAGCAGTCAGGCACTCAAAGTGCACAGGAAGGTGGTGAAGGTGCTCCGGAACCATGAAGATGTGGCACTGAGGGATCTAATGGGCACGGTGGGATGGGTTGGGGTTGGACTGGATGGCCTTCGAGGTCTTTTCCTACCTTAGTGATTTTGTGATTCTAAAACAAGCCTTAAGTTAGGAATTGCACACCTGTGTCTGAAGCGTGGGCAGTTTCTATGCTAAAAATACAGCCAGGTGTTGCATCTTTTTCTGTCCATGAGTGGGGTTCTGGTTTTGCAGTGTGCCTGTTGTGCGTCCCACTGCCCTATGGCTGGAGGGGGAGTTGGCTGGGGAGGAGTGTGGTTGTTATCAAAGAATTTGTGATGAGCTTCGGGATGCTCAAGTAATGGCCAATGGCACGTTGGCAGTCTGGTTGGGTGATTGGGAATGCTGGGGCCATCATGGTGGGGAGGCCAAGTGCAACACAGCATGCTGCTTCCTCCAACCCTTCCTACACCCCGAATAAGTCTGTTTTTCCCAGACTTTACCCAAAGGCCAGGGTTTAGAATCGTCAAACTGTAGCATCATAGAATCACCAAGGTTGGAAAATACCTCTATGATCATCCTGCAGTGCCATTCCATGGTTCTGGAACACCTCCAGGGCCGGTGACTCCATCACTTCCATGGGCAGCCTGTGCCAATGCATCCCCATTCCATCATCCACAGTTTTCCAGCCCTGGGAACTCCTTTCCAGACCAGTTAGGATCTCTTGGTTGGTGCTGAGAGGAAATTCAAGAGACCAGGCTGCAGAAGGAATCCTCCAGCACCTCTGCTGAACTTTGGAGACATTTCCCCGAAGGGCACAGACAGCATGAAGTAGAACTGCCAAGCTTTTTTAAATAACCGAGTGCATTTGCGCACGAGGAGAAGTGATTCGATGTTTGGAATAAAAGAAGAAAGTTGGAAACAAAAAAAAATACAAGAAAAAGCAAATCAGCTTATGGTAGTGGTAAGAACCCATCAGATCAAGGAACGGAGCGTAGAGGAGGGAGAAGAGAAAATGGGCATTGAGAAGGATCAAAAATGCAGAGAATGAAATCAGCAGCTGCAGCTGCTGCGGACAAGATGCTGGTGGGAAGGTGGAGCTCTGGGTGGAGCTCAGGACCAACTCTGTCCTGCAATGAAGGAAAAGCATTTTGGCTCATAAATCAAATACAGAACATCAGCGAGACTCAGCCTTCTCAGGAATGCCATCTCAGCAGGTCTGTGCTTTCATGGAGTTGTAGAATCATGATGATTGGAAAAAAACACTCAGATCATTGAGTCCAACCCCAACCCATCACTGCCATCCTCACTGAGGATGCATCTGGCCATGGAGCTGAGCTGAGCTCCTCAAAGGGAAAACTCATAGGGGCCAAGCTGGGAGCATGGCAGCCTGGTAACACATAGGGGAGGAACAAAACGGTTCACATCCACTGGAAATCAATTCAATTTCAAAAATGAGTTGGGAAATGGAAGGATGTGAAGATCTCCGAGGATATCTCCATGCCTTGCCATCCTGTGAGCTGGGAGAGATGCTCCATGCCAGCCCCAGAAGCAGCACCCAAAGGTGGCTTCAACTCATTGGTAACACAGGAATAAAAAATGATGTAGAGTGTTTCTGGGTGAATATCCCAGCAGATAAAACATGAGATCTCCCTGCTGCTGCAGGGACTCAGCACCACCTGCTTCTTTTGGCATTTACATCCATGATATGTAATAAAGTCCCTGTGACCACCAGGGGCCGAGCGATGCACACCGGGGGTCTTAAGCTGCCAGCATTAAAATGCCCTCAGAATTTCTGGAAAAACAAAAAGAAAGAAAAGAATTTCCTAATGATAAAATATTGCCTCCAATGTGAGGGAATTCCATGCTATACCTCACCCCGACAGGTGAAGATGGATTTCTTCCTGAACTAGGCATGAGCAATCATGGCTTGATTACATTTGTTACGTGCAAATGAAGTAAAGCTTCAAAGCAGTTTTATATACATATACATAGATATATATATAGTTGGCACTTTAAAAGGTCCTGTTTCACAAAGCAGAAAATAATTACAAGTCAAATCAATTTGGGGAAAGAATTTAGATGAAAAGTGTGCTGGAAGGGGAGAGGCCTTTAAGAATGTTTAACCCCCAAAGCAGTAATGCAGGCAGAAACCTTTGTTAGGAAACACAGCTTGGCTTGGAAAGGAAGTGAAAGAGCCGCCAAGAGCAACACATACAATATAAACAGAGAAAAAGAAGGAAAGGGAAACTGTTAGTAATTAATAGACCTCAGATGCAGCGGGAAATTAAAGGCAGAAGGAAAATTTCCAAGATTTTCAAGAATCTCACATTGACATTGGGCCAATACTACAGAAATGGGGGATTTATCAGCGACGCAGAAATGCTCAGTGCAAGTTTCCTCCTGGTGTCTGGTTGAGAACAGACAAGGTGCTGACGAATCGCTTTCCAAGGGCGCAGAGGAGGCACGATGAGATCTGTGGACCTGTGGGTCTGAATAACCTGTGTGAGTTTGTGGGAGGTGGGCAAGGAGAGCCGTCTAGAGAAGGAATGGGGATTTTGTTCCAAGCAGGTCTTGGAACAGTCACCAAGAGCAGCAGAGTGTTGGGAGGAGGTCAGCACTGCACCCACCAAGGATGGTGTCACAATGGGCACCAAAGATCCCCAGGCTTTTATCGTGGCAGGGATCCCTGACAAGTGATGTGAGCCAGCACCCAACCTGACGGGTCAAGAATGAACGGAGGGCAATGCAATGAAAGGTGAGCAGCAGCTCAGGGCAAAACAAGGGTGGTAAAGTCACTGAGGAGTCACAGGTTTGTCAGGGGGAGACGGTTGTACTGGTGCAATACTTTCAGCTTGCTGATGATTGGAATGTTGGCGGTC